TAGTCACTTGAAAATAGAAAACCCTAAATATTAAATGAATATCAGTATACTTGCTTGTTTGGTCAAAGAAAAAAAAAGGAAAATCTCTTTCAAAATACAGTGTACTCCCTTTTGTGTTTTAATAATTGAATATAAGATTTGAAGATTACGGCTAATCAAGCTCAGAAAACAACCACAAAAACAAATACAAACAAATAAATACTCCAATATGACTTCGGCCATATTATACTTTATAACGGAAAGAACTCATTTTTGGAAATTTATTGAAGCTGGATAGAGGTTATTAGCAAATTATCGAGAGTCCATATAGCTTTCACTGATTTTAACAATTATTTTACAAATTTGCTGCCGACTACTTTGCTTAACGTTTTAAACATTGATACGTGACTAAACATAATATTAACCGAGTGACAATACACAGTGATGTTTTTACTGATTTGCATTTTGGAAAAAACAATTCTTACACATTTCCAGTCAAATTATAGAGTCGGACACTTGTTCCCGACTTTTCATCTATGTTAAAATCCAGTAAAAGTTTAGGGATGCTAAAGGTTCAAATGGGATTTTTATTACACAAATTTGAGTTCATTTTCTACTTTATTTATTGTTAAGTGGTTTTCAATAGATTTTTCATTTCAAGTATTCTTTTGAAACCACTTGTCTGATTAAGCAATATTAGTTTTAATTAAAACAAAAGTTCCTAACAATACATGCATTCTTACATTTCTTTGCTTTAGGACCATTTATTAGACCTCTCCTGGCAAAACGCTTTAACGTAGAAGAGATAACTTGGAGATTGTTAACATTTTTTAACACGTGAAAGTTTATGTTAGTGTAAATTACTAGCTGATTACTTGTCACTTCCCGAATATTTATTTATCATAACCACCAATTAAACAACTCCTCACGACTCGCCTGTCTTGACTACTCCTCCCACCCCTCTAGCTCCCTCCAGCTCCCCGCAACTCCATCTCCAGCTCCCTCCAGTACCCTCCAGATCCCTCCAGCTCTCTCCACAACGACCGACAGCTCCACTTTGCGAAAATGCCGCCTAAAAAGTTTACGAGTTGCATCAATTCAAGAAAAATTTTTTGAGCAATCAATTTTGGGCTAACATTTCGGTATCCCTTCATGTGGTTTCCAAGTTAACGTTTCAACCTTCCATCCATGGCCTTTTTCAGGGCTGAAATGCCTCAGTTCGCACAGGGCATGCACTTGCCTTCGCCGCGGAAGCCTACAAGGCTTCTTAAACTGTATTTTGGACGTGATCACTAATGTAATGATGGGAACAATTTTATATGTTGATATGAGTTCATGATTAATAATACGTTGTTGCCGGTCATCAAATTTCTCTCATGCCTCATTGAATAAAAACGGTAATATGAGGGGTGGAGTTAGATTTTAGAACCTTTGCTTAATGTCGGCGGGATGCCACATGAACCTTTTGCCCTATTTGAATTGGCTTACACTTGCAGAAGTTGAGATCAAAATTAGAATGGGAAAGCTATAGTACGCCGAGATTCAAGTATTATCAAGCTGTTTCATATTTACTTCTTTATTTACTTATCTGTTTTGACGTTATTCTTCCAAATTTTAAAATATTAATTATATACAGTCATACATTTTCATTCTAAGGAACTTAAAAGAATGCAAATGTTGATGGAAACAAGCTTATAAATTATATTGTCTACGAATTGTTTGTTCTCGTGTATCTCTGGTGAAGCATGACCCGTTGTTCACGCTGCCGACGGGCATGGAACTGGCGCGCAGGATTTTTATTGCCAGATTGCCTTTACCTGTCGTAAATTTACGAGGATGAAAATTCGTGCTTTGCGAAAGTATGTTGCGGATCTTTTGGGAAAAGCTCTCCGCGCTTCTAACATTGATTTTAGAAATAAAATAAACGTTGGAAGTGTAATTATTGTGTTTCTGTGTTCTTTCGTTGAAGAGGCTAGTGTACTTGCAGATGTTTAAACCTACTTATCAATTTTCTGCTGTTCAGTGCTTACACGCCAAGTGGCCGCTAAGATGAAAAGTCAGTATTCTGTCTTTCTTGGTTCGGCAGAGAAAACACTTTGAAACGCAAAAACCTACCATTAGATTATGACCACAATGTAAGCTAACATCTGTACAAAATGTTTGCTGAGGGAGTCGGCTGCAGGGTTCGTCGCCTGTTCGGGAGAAGTCTCCAAGTTCTTCCTCACTCTTCGAAAGCATATGAGCAAACATGACGAGTACAGCATTTGTTTCTCACACGTTACTTTTTTTGACTCACCGATCCACGTGCAGTTGGTTGATATATTAACCGCAATGTATGCGATCGAGTGCTGCTAGTTCGAGACTGGTTAAGGACGAGCATTTTTAATGTAAATGTACCCTAGAATTTGGGTCTATAAGTACTCGCGCCTCACCTTTATTTGTTTCTCATTATATTTTATTTCCATTTTAAATTAGAATCCAGTAATATTGTAAGTTGCATTACGAAGTGATAAAAACATGATTTCAGTGAAATAACTATTTTTTTTGTTAAAAAAAGAGTGAGGGTTTATTGTAACGGTTATTTATTACAACTATTGAAAGCAGACTGTCTTAGTGGTGTTCCAAACCATTGACAGTTAGGATATTTTTAATGTTCTTACCAAGGGTTCAAAATTGAGTTTGGTTGTGTGATTGGAATGAAGCAAAATGAATAATAAATTAATGGTTGACACGTGGTCTGTTGACAATCGTTAACCTTCTTAATAAATTATTAACAAGAATAAGTGGTTCGTCAGCAGCACTTTATTGCATTATTTGTAATTCTGCCATCTTTCCTTCCTCTTCCTTGTTCTACCCTCACCCCTTACACACGCTTATACTCATATTCACCACACTATCACACTTGTCAGGAGCTTGCCACCTGGGCGGTGCACCGCTGGTGGGAGATACCTGATTGAGCAACATCCTCGCTAGCCGACGGTAGGTCGGCATCAGTTTTCACGAGCCAGTGGGGGAAGACCATTTCCAACTCATGAAGTGATGTCATGCACTACACTTACGGGACTAATAATCTTATCAATTGACGCTCCCGGAACCAGTAACCAACCAAACCGGCATGACGAGAAGAGATACTACAGCTTGTCCTGGCTGAGGCGGATCTTTCCTGGAGGAGACACTCGAAGCAGGAAAAACATTCAAGCTATTAGGTCGGTGTCAAGTATTAACATGCGTTACCATATACACGACACTTACGGGTTTAATGAGAAAAATACACGTAGTTGCAATCGTATTTATTTTCATTCCCGTCTCTAAGACGTTTTACACACATATTAATTTAATTTGAAACACCTACACTATACATACTTTCCTATATGATTACGTTAGATAAAATTCAAAGCTAATTTAATCTAACGATAGCGAGCATACTCTAGCAATTAACTGGTGACGTGTGGTCTGTGAGATCGCTGGGGAAAATATCGAGAAGTCGCAAGAAGTACTTGTGTGTACGAGTACATTCTTATCGCCGATCTTGATGGTCGAGGTGGCTTAGAGCGTGTACCGACTCAGTGCTTTGGTCCGAAGGCTCGTGAGTTCGAATCACACATTGGGCACGGTTGCTTTTCATTTGTCTCTCGTGTATGTGTTGTCGCGGAGAGCCTCGCATTCTGCTGCACCCAGAACAGTGTAGCTCGCAAGTGTGTTGGTCTATTGAATGGTCGAATATGCGTCCCTTCGGGATGGAAAGGGTAACCGGCTGTCGGCTGGATAAAAGCACGTCCTTCTTAAGCGCTAGAAAATAAAAACCATATATCTTTCTAAACGGCAATCACACACTGAATCCAGTTCAGCCGTTTAATTTTGTGGTGTCACTTGAAGTTTCGAAGCGGTCTGCAGAACAATGACCAACAGTAGAACTTTGCTTGCCACTGCAATATGTGTGAACGTGCTGAACGATTCCTCAGGGATCTTATTTTCAATGGAAATCGCTAATATAAATAAGGGTGATTATTTTTCCTTTGAAAGTGTACACTATAAAAAACGATGAGGAAGTGCATAAAGGATTAGATAATGCAATAGAGGAAGGGAAATATAAACATTAGAAGAAATAGCGGTAGAGGAGGAGTGACAAAATTCTTTAGCGGTGGAGTTTCGCTGACCGGAAGGTCGTAGGATTCCAGTCCCGACAGTGGCGGATTTTCGACACTAGCTTTATAGGTCGGTCGAATTAGCCACTGTCAGTTAATTTCGTCACCGGTAACAGAAATTGGGAGGTACGTCACCAATTAACGGCTAGTGGAAGTCGTGGAGAACGAAAAAGTTGATTTGCAAGTATTTTTACAAGGGCTTAAAATAGGAATCGTTAAATGCCCGTGTGTAATAACCTGGGACGGTAAACAAAAGTGATGCTGTGATATGAATGATGTCGACCTTCAGAATATCCCATCCAGAAATTCTGGATATCTCCTCAAATTTTAATCTGAGTAGGTCCCCAGAAGAGAAAAAAGTCGCACGCTGTTGCTAGACTAGGAATCGGCTCAGCTCCTGTGACGTTTAATGATTCAGACGACGTTTTGCGGCAGTGAAGGCTATAGTATTGAACGACAGGTGGCCCTGACAGTGCTGGAAATATTTCGATAACTAGGACTGGCGAGAACGCGCGAGACAACTATGAAAAGAAATCCAAATGGAAAATTCAAGAACTGCCTGGAGTAACTAGTAAAAGAGGTAGATAAGTGACCACCATTCATTGAATAATTCAAGAAGGCATGTGGTTAAATGATTTCGTTTACTGCGTAAATCGACGTTTTCTTCGGAATCTATCTTTTGAAAAGACTTTCATTTTCCTTTCTTTTTCCCCCGATTATTTTTTCTACATCCTCGTGTGACGGCGATCCTGTCACGGGTGAATGTGAGAGGGGCGGCGGCGCTGTTACGTGCGCGATCGCGGAGGGGGCGGCGGCGGCGGCGGCGGTGGCGAGGTGGCCCCGGCGGTGGCGGCGAAGGCGCGCGGCAGTCCATCGCGGTCTCGGCCCAGAGGGACACGGCCTCTTGCGCTCTCTCTCTCTCTCCTGCTCTCCACGCGTGCTGCAACCTCCGCCGCCGCCGCCGCCGCCACACCGGCCGCTCTGCGCCACGAGCCGCACGTCCAGCCACGCCGCCCTCGCTCCAAGAGACACCTGTAAGAATCTGCTCTGAGCCCAATTTTAAAAAATTTCTTGTGTACAGCCTTGAGGGTATTAATGTAAATACAGAATCATTATATTTACTTTTTACTGAAACATTAGTGCTAGTTATTGCCTTCGAAAGGGAGCTCGTTATTCACTGAATAACTTACCTGGATCGAGAGTTTCATAATTACAAGGGAAGTATGAAAACGGTTGAATGTTCTCTTATGGGAAGAAACATAAAATGACAAAGTGAAGTTAACATCTAGTTAATTAATAAATAAGTGAATCTGAACCATTAAAATTGAAAAAAATATATATTGTATGTATCACGAGCGTTAACCGATTTTACTGACCGAACGGCGACAAAACCCACGGACCAGAGGCCATCGAGCTTTTTGTCGCCTCTCGATCATTAGAACCCTTGGTGCAGACGACCTTGGTGCATAAATATTATTTATGAACTTAGAGAATACGAATGTACATAATATTATTAACATTTAGCGTGTCCGCCTTCGAAATTTATTAATAATTCAAACCTATTAGGCTTTACATTTTTTTTACAAAATCATCATTGAATTAAACGGAATATATTATTTTCTTGTTCACATTAATATTCACGCTGTAGTTGTAGAGCTGAATTGTCACATCCGGAAGGGATTGGAGATTGCTCCAGAGGCTATTGATACGATCTTGAACTGTAGTGTAAATGTACCACTTCGGGAAGGATTTGGAGACTTGCACTGTCTTCAAATTTCATTCTCCTCGACGAGAAATAGAACTCGCAATTTTGATCGTGAAGATTTAATGAAACATTTGGGTGTCGACATTTTTGAGGATCGAATAAGGGAGCTAAAAAAATGTGAATATGTTTTCCTGATATATATTAAAACATTTAGAATTGCACAATTATAACCTTAAGTGAAATGCATTATGAATATCATTTTTAAGGTTATTTATTACACTATGGAAGAATATTTTTACCTTCAGGAAGATAGAGTGCGCAACGTACTCAATTTTATTCGTAGATTACGTAAATCTGAATAAAACCGTCATATCACGTCATAGATTTTATACATACCGTATCACAACGTATTTTGCTATTAATTCAAATACATTGAAATTGCACCTCTAAGATATGTAGAATCAATACACATAAAATCTTCTTAAAAATAAAGTATTTGTTCAGTACCCTATGACACTTTCATGAGATATCAACAAAATTTGATTTTATACCTTCTTTATTTGAAAATTGTCATCTTTATTCTCGCTTCTGGTAGTCGCGTTCAATTACGGATAGGTCTTAGAGTTCATAGTCGATATCAGTGCAAGGTTTGAAAACAAGTTACGTGAACTCTCGTATTTCTTAGTGCTTATCAGTCACCGAAAGGTATTATTTTAGCCCCTTAGCTTATCGCAAGCATGAGGCTATCCATCTGCTGCGGTGACAGATTCTGAGGCAGTCGGGGGTCTTTCAGAACTGTACTCTCAGTGCGCGTGAAGTTGGTATTTTGTTTGCGGGTGTCTCAAATACATTAATACATTACAGTTCTGTGTTTTTCTTAAAGTGAAATTCGCCGCATGATATGCAGAATTGAATCGGTTCGATAAAATGCAAATCGTCATTTCACATCGAAAGCGAATCAACCCAATATCTTCTGTTACGTTTGTGTAAGATTTACATCCAAACTTCAAAGAAAAAATGAAATTACAAAACTTGCGTTTTCATTTTACTTTGGCTCTCGTGTTTGTGATAAAGGGCTGCTCACCAGTGTTATGTTTCACCTGCACTTGCCCAGCTAACCTTAGGTTGTGGTTGTATGAAAAACTCAAATCATTGCCTTTCGCTGTACCAATCTTGTACACAATTCCAACAAACCATTTTTATATCTTCATAGTGTTGCACGAATATGCGTATTACATTTTTAACTTGTTCTTACCTCATATGAAGCATGCTCATAAACGTTTGTAGTAATATAACTGAAGTGACAATGCGGGAATTAGTAAAGAATTTTGTGTATTTCAAAAAATAAATATGTTCATATCTTTTGAACCTTGCGTGATAGAAACTTTTTATGATGATTTTCGAAAACAACGTGATCGTTTCTTTAGAAATTACCTTCTTTCATCCTGGAAGTTTGAATTTTTTTGTTCTCAGTGTTACCGATCATAAGAGGAAATAGTAGCATTCAAAACTCTCCATCGAGCAAAAAATAAATAAATAAATAAAAATAAAAACAATATTTATTTTCTAATACAACAATCATTAATTGTTCGATAATTATTGTATGTACACCCAATAGATAATGAATTGAACCATAATACAACATTCCTTACATATTCAACAACAACAACAACAACAACAATAATAATAATAATAATAATAATAATAATAATAATAATAATTGTAATGAATTAACAAATAATAAAAAGAATTCCACTAGAATCCCAAGGTTGAATGCAATTTTTTCTAGAAATATTCTTTTGTTACGCAAAATTACTTTATCAAATAAGGGAAATTAGAAATTCCATGAATGCATAAAAGATAACACCATTTTTTAACGTTTTTTCCAAAATGAGAAGAATTAATCCAAGCAATTTCTCACTGTAGTGTGTGCGTGCGTGTGTGGTGCGTGTGTGCGTGCGTGTGTGGTGCGTGTGTGCGTGTATTTGTGCGTGCGTGTGTGGTGTGCGTGTGCGCGCGTGTTTGTGCGTGCGTGCGCGTGTGCGCGTGCGCGTGCGTGTATTTGTGCGTGCGTGTGCGTGCTCGTGCGTGTGTTTGTGCGCGTGTGCATGCGTGCATGTGTGTATGTGCGTGTGTGTGTGCGTGTGTGCGTGTGTGTATGTGATGAGTATATACTCAATACGTATTAGTGTCGGCTAGGGAGGAGGCTTTGAGTTTCACTACATCTCCGGAGCAGATAATCAGAGTAGTGGTTAGCCTTTGCCTTCCTTCCTGTTGCTTGGATGGGAGGGTAGGGCAATCGTGACGGAAAAATGATGACGATGATTATGGATGCCATGATGCACTCATATGGGTTACATGGTGTTACGTAAGCGCCAAAGGCACGGTGAAACTCCTCGCCCCTGAAACCCTCAACCTTCGACTTCGTGATCTTCGACATCCCTGCGTCACGTCACCGAGTCCGGTCACAAAGCTCTCGCGCAGGCATGACACGGTCGCGGCCAAGGTAACTAACTTCCTCGAGATCCCGGGCGCTACGCCCAGAGCAATTGGCGCGAGATTTGAAAGTAGGGGTTGTACCAACGTTCCCGTCTGGTGGTTCACCATCACTGGAGCCCTGGCCCAGTCATTTGGGGAAGTCAGTAGAAAATTATCTTCCCAAATGCACCTCTATTAATTCTCATATCCTCTACTGAGGCAAAGGAATTATTAGTTAAAATGAAATAATACATCAGTCAGGTTTCAATTGCCAGATATATTAGAATAAGATCTAATCAGATAAACCCCATCTTTTTACAACAATTTTCTAATTACTCGTGATTTTACCCATGATAAACAACAACTTGTGTGCAGATGCAGTGAATGAATGACGCACGTAACCTCACTGCGCTGCTCTACGGCGTCTGAAGGGGGAGTCAGAGTAACAGCCTCAAGGCCGATCGCTTCGTTAGCCTTTTCACCTTCCAGAACTTGAAGCCCCTCTGCATACACGTGGTTCACACAGCATCGTTGATCATTAAGAATGTTACCGTTGCTTGTCATCAAACACCCAACGTCCCGCAACCACACTTCGAGAACTTGATGATAAAACCGACTAAGGAGATGCGCCGTGTTACTGTAATTAAAACGTGATGTAAGGTCGCAATTGGCAGTTTGAAAGTTTTGTGTCATGCTTCTAGCAATTTTTTTAGTGTTTGAGGATTGTATTTCTTGCTTCTCAATGTTGCATGTCACGCAAATCACACAACAGAGTCTGGCATTTGTGTCAGTGTCAAATCTTTGGCGGGTTTAAGGGTAATCAACACATATATTGGATAAACACAGAATAAAAAAGCTTCTACGTTGCTTTTTGTTTGCTCGATAATATCTTGATTCGTACGCATGATTGTAACAAGACGCATGTTGTTAATAGGTTCATAACAACTAGCATATCAAGGCTAGTTGTTATGAACTTGTATTGTATCTATATTTTTTTGATAGAGAGAAATAATAACAAATAGATATTTAAAATATAATACTATTACATCCAGAAAAAAGTTGTGATTTAAACTGCCCCCAATTCTATGATTGAGAACGTTAATTGAATAATAATGCTCCAATGCAGAGAGACGTCAGAATGTCAGGAAGAAATTATTTCACACGATCGTTCTTGGTTTTAAGAGTCACTTGCGTTTTTACCTCATCATCCCCTTTTCACCTCTAAAATATCTCGTATGTGCGAACATTTAGAGTTCCTTTACTAATCTTGAAATATTTCCTGTATTAAAACGCTTCTCAAAATTTATGCACATTTATGTAATTATGTACAACCTAATGTCGATGGCACTCAGTGGGGGATTTAAGTAATTTACCACCCTAGAAAAATACTTTTGGTGAATTTAATGATATTTTATTTTAGTGTTATAATTCAGAAAATATAACTATCCTAGACAAATATTTTTGGTGAGTTTAATGAAATTCCTTTTTACTGTTATGAGGCAGATAATATATAATTATATTTTTAAATAAATTGTGTTGTAGTTTATTTTAAAATTTGTTTTAATCCTACATTAATATTGTGTTATAATGTATCATTACAATTGCTAACAAACAATATAGGTGACATGCATGCACACAACATAAATAACACCTGTCAACTGTTCAACTGTTGAATTATAGTATTGTCATAACTTATAATTTCTTATTTATTAAATTTGAATATTAAATGAACAATTATTATTATTATTATTATTATTATTATTATTATTATTATTATTATTATTATTATTATTATTATTATTATTTTGCTTGCGATTAGGCCAACTAGGACCACGCATGCATGCATCCATC